TTTCTTTTTTGTAATATAATGTCTCTATGAATTTATCATGCCCTGGTACATTTGATATTAAACTAAAAATACATCAGTGGCGCTGCAACCTTTTTGAGGTCTGGGGCTCACATTTCTGTATCTGTTTCATGATCTAGTCCTGTGCCAAAAGCCGGTTTCCTAAAGTTTTCCTTCACTTTGTTTGAGCGAATGTTAAATGAGCACATAGAAAGTCCTTTGGTGCACAGCCGGGGATCGAACCTATGACCTCAGGGATGAGAGTCGTACGCCGATGCCACTAGGCCAACACTGCTCCTATATATCTATATCTTCTTTAAATATCTTTATATCTCAAAACGGCTACGCTGACACATTAAAGGCGGAAACATACTACCAAAACGCGACGCTACACCACGCCATCCGATGCATGTTAGTACTTATCAATCCCATATATTTAATATGGTCAGATGCACATAGACAACACGCCATGTGATCACACGCGGTAACATCCAATCGAATTGGATCGGCGTGTTGTGGATGTTGTGATGAAACGTCATGCGTCAGTCTTTCGAGTTTTTGACACGAATGTCAATTTATATACTTAGATTTTGACACGAATGTCAATTTATATACTTAGATTTTGACACGAATGTCAATTTATATACTTAGATTTTGACACGAATGTCAATTTATATATTTATATTTTTGGATTTATTTGGCGAAATGAACGACGAATAATTAATTGAGTTTGTGAAACAATATTCTGTTTTATATGACATGAGATTGCCTCAATAGAAGGACAAAAATAGGGAGTTAGGATGTTGTTAGTTTAATACAATAACCTGCTAATCAATTCAATTTATTAGAAAAATACAGGGTGAGCCAGAAAGATTTGCGAATTTGAAAAAAATATAATAAAAAAACTAAATACAATACACATAAAATTTTTTATTTCAATTAAAATAGACATCTGGGAAATTTATTTCTTAAAAATAACATCACCCAGGTGTGCACCATTGCGCTGCAAACATTCCTCGAATCTGAACCTCAAATTGGTAAAAACTTGCTGGCACATTGCGCGGGGAATAAATCAGCTAAATGACTTCTGAATTTTCAAGCGTGTCGTGGTGTCGCGTGTTGGTAATGTGCACGATGGACATCGGGTGTCGACACGACACGTCGCGTCGCATTTTAGTAGTATGTTTCCGCCTTTAAGCTACGGCGCCACAAATAGACATAACACCCCTCCTTTTAAGGTGGTTATTTAACATAAAATATAAACTATTATTTAGTTAAATAGTAAATGTACTTGTGCATAATAAATTCCAAGATGCATTATAATGTTACAAAACAGAAAATAACTAATGTGATTACAAAAAAAATCCAGGGTTACTCTGTTGTATATTATAATATATGTTATATATTATATATTACAATCGAGTAATGTTTGTAGTACTTGCTTTCATATGCTAACCACTTAGATGAACCAGCGTTTATATATTAAAATTTGCCGTAACAATACGGTTTCAATAAAATGTCATCAAGAATGCGGTTAGCAAGGTTAGTGAAAGCTGTCATTGTTCTAGTCTGACACGATTTAACTGCGTTCAAACTTGTATACAGATAAAACATATTACTTCTAAATAAATATAAAAAATATGTTTATTAATCTAATACTTCTATAATCAGTGGCGCTACAACGATTTTAGGTCTGACAGATTTCTGTATCTGTTTCATGATCATTTGTCAATCTAATAGGCAAGTAGGTGATCAGCCTCCTGTGCCTGACACACGCCGTCGTCTTTTTGGGTCTAAGGCATGCCGGTTTTTGATGTTTTTGTCACCGTTCGAGCGTATGTTAAATGCGTACATAGAAAGAAAGTCCATTGATGCACAGCCGGTGATCGAACCTACGACCTCAGGGATGAGAGTCGCACGCTGAAGCCAGGCTAGGCCAACGAACTACGTTATACATATTTTGTCATACGTAACAATACCATTGCCTTTAACGGTTAAAAATGGAACGATTTGACCCTTTGCTGTAGTAGACGAGCGTTTTTCGTTAAATTAATTATTAATAAATGATTGGCCACATTAAGAAGTGATAAAATTAACGATCTAGCCACGACGGCCTCTCCATTCAGAAAAAGGTTGAATAAAAAGTTGTCGAGACTAGGTCAGAAGTAAGTTGTTTATTTATTCATATAACGATTTTCTATTTTACTCTAAATTAACCATTATTCGTCACTAAATAAGTATAATCCGGAGTGTAAGTGTCCATGGGCGGCGGTATCACTTAACTGTGCTTACCCCGCGACAGCCCAAGCCGAGGTCCGAGTCTCGCAGGAAACGCCCTTGCGCTAGTCAAGGGATTCCAGCCAAAACAGGCTTAGCTGTAAAGGCAGTCTGTAAAGTCGGTTTACAGGCGATAGTCTATACTTTTATGAATAAAATTGAATCATTTTTATTGAATTATCACTATTTTGTATGGATACAAAGGAGTGAATCCTCGGACGCATATGCCAATCGAGTGGAAGAGAGATAGATACGGCGCAATAGTACAATGAGCGTAATGGGACAATGAGCGTAACGGGACAACAAGCGTTAAGAGACAATAGATCCTGCTTTTTCGTGCGTGCAGTCATCATTCATCGATTTATTAGACGTTGACACGTCAAAAAATACTGTGCCTATTTTTAATCTTATTAAAAAAGAATATCGACGTGATTCCAACAATATGCTACTCTTGCACACGTGTCTAAACAATGAGTGAACATAACAATAAATCATATTATCAGATTGATATCGGCCTGATAAGACAAGGTTACACAATATTTCCTTTAAGATTAAAAACAGTTACGCGTTAACACAATACTTAAATTTTATTGTTTTTGACATTTTCTTTGTTTACAAAATTGTAAATAACTAGGTAGATTTACCAATTACATACAGGCGGTTTTTACTGTACAGACATCGTTTAGAACAACATATATATATATTGACCAAAATCAAAGGTCCCGGCTGAATTCTATTGTATTAGGTACTTAATAACGTCATCGGCTGTTACGACTATCGGTTTACGATCAAATATGAGTAGTCCCTTCGATGTCGTTATAACAGATTTTGACTATAGTTTAAATCAAGTTAATTTTCTCGTGAAGAGAAACAAGATAAACATTATGCCTACGTTCGGGCAGTGAGGACCAGCGTCATGCGAGGCTGATCCATTTTATGACACTCTTCTTCAGGTGTAAGACGATACAGCTATTGTTCCGTCACCAATAATTGCAAATTAAAATAAAGAAGAATTAAATTGCATATTTGTTTTTCTTAATCTAGTCTATATTCGGTTATAAATAAATAAAATAGCTTAATTATAAGTTTTATACCTGTACATATTGGGCCGAGATGTTAATTTTTTTTAAATAAATGTAAAATAAAAATACCTAAGCCCGCCCCCACGTTTGGGACTGAGATAACTTTTGTCACCGCCAAAATAATACTTCTACTCATAAAGCAGAATTCTATCACTCCTCCTTTACTGTGCAAAGTATCCTGCTATGGATATCTCTTTATATCAGACGGGCTCAGTCTTTAAACTTCTTCTGCCTCGTAATTAGCTACTTATATATTTTAATTGTGACTCAAATAACCCCTGCATTAGCTTTTACACTTTTGTTTATACATATTATTTTTGTTTTTCTGTAGATTTTACTTTATTTTAGTTATAGTTAGTGTTACATGTTATTTTGGGTATTTTTTTTGTTAATTACTTATGCACTTCTTGTACTTTACCCTCTGTAGGTGTTTCTTTTATATTTTTTCCATGTTAGGGTTGCCTGGAAGAAATCGCTTGTTAGCGATAAGGCCGCCGGTTGCCTAATAACTTATGGAACCTGCTTTTTTATATGTATGTTTTTTGTATAAGGTAACGAAGTGTGAATGAATTTAAAAAAAAACATGTATGTGTACTTATTTACACGCGTTAGAAGTTATACTTTGGCGTAACAAGATAAAAAATCTTTTTAAATTTTTTATCTTTCGCCTTATTCTACGTCTGTAGAAAACGACACTAACAATAGAAATAAGGTATTTAATAAATTGAAAGTTTTATTTAGTTAAATAAAGTTTATTTAAATAACACACAAAAATTATTTCTATATAATTAAAGAAATTGACATTTTTATTTTAAAATGTTGACTATGCTAACTTCAGGACGTCGGTTTTTTATGACGTCAAAGTCAAAGTCAAAAATCATTTATTCATATAGGTAACACAATGTACACTTATAAACGTCAAAAAAGAAATATACATTGAAGGCTTCTAATTTTACATTTACTGCCAGTTCTCAAATCAAGGGTGTACAACTGGCAATAAACGGTGTGCGGGTGTCGGTTTTTTGTAACGGTGTGCGCGCGCAACGTAAAAATTTACTCTCATCATTTTTCCCTAACGCGCCAAAAGAAGTATAACTTCAATAAGCTTTTTTGAGTAATGTCGGGATTTGAACGACTTCCGACTATGTTACCAACTAAACCTCTGAGCGGTGCCGTATAGAGGTAATAATTGTATTTCCGAATATATTTCCGTGTTCCACTTTTACGGTACATTTAAATTGATTGATATTTCGTAATCGTTCACAATACACGCACATGTGTATGTGTGTTGTGATAGTATTATATACAATCATTTGCACATCATGTATTTCTAAACGGCTTAACTAATAATTGTGGCGTGATGCGATAAGCTACGCTGCAATAATAGTAGTTGTATAGTTTGAATATTAGAGATATTCAAACTATACTGTTGATATATTTATTCAGAATAGGTTCTGCGGGCTAAACGAACACAGAATGCGCAGAGATTTTTTTTACTTGGGGAAATGCATTGCACATACACTTTCGCAGCGCGACTGCTTAGTGCGGGAGGGTTATGTGGGACTCGTTCTGATGCGTACTCACTAAAACCCCAAGGTGCCACCAACAACCGTCCTAGGCGGGATGCGGTGACGGCAGAGCGACATGGGATACAACGGTTGCGTCCGCCTTTCCACGCCCATTATTAGTTTGTGAAGATACTTGACACAGCGTCATTCACAGACCGGGCCATTCGCTTTTAGTAATAGCTAGATCGGATCCAATTATTGCAAGCCGGTTTCTTCACGACGCTTCATCGTTCGAGCGTTAAAATGCGAACATAGAAAGAAAGTCCATTGGTGCACAGCCGGGGATCGAACCTACGACCTCGGAGATGAGAGTCGCACGTCGAAGCCACTAGGCCAACACTGCTCACTTAACTACTAGGCATTGTACTCATAATGAATGTTTTTTGTTCCAGGACCTGATTCCACCTCAAGACACGGAGTCCTACCTGCTGAAAACGCAAAATGCAATTACCAACCTTCAAGCAAAATTGAATTCGTCGCGCAATACCAACATTCCGTCTCAATTGACAACTAGTCTCATCAGTGAGAAGACCCTGGTCTCAAGACTTCCACTGTCACAGCTAAGCCGGTCTAACTCTCTTAATTATAGACTGCGAAGAAAGGATAATTCAGGTATGTAGTCAAGTGAAGTAAAGCTCAACGAAAAGCGTGGTGTCAATGGTTCCAGTTGCTTCCAATTTCACGATGAAAACTTGGTGATTAAAAAAAGAACGGAGCTTTTCTTGACTTCTCGCCCACTCTACGCCCTTGATTTAGCCCACTGAAGTAGTTCCGAATTCCAATTCGACTTAGGGTCCTCCAAGTATCAATTCTTAAAATGCCGACAACGCACTCGCGAGACTTCTTGCAGTGTGAGTGTCCATAGGCGGCGATATCACTTAAAATCAGATGAGCCTCCTGCCCGTTTGCCTCTTATTACATAAAAAAAATCTTCTACCGCATTTACCATGGAGAGTGATCAGAGGAGTTGTTCGTACTAATAACTGTAACTGCCCGTATGACTCATGTTACATAAAAGTTAGTTATAATTGTATAAACATATGATCAGTGCCTTATTGAAATAAAACACTGTTTCATCTGATTGAGTTACTGACCCATTAATTCACATTGAATATTCTTGTATTATTGATTTAACTATTGGTTTAACCTTTTTACACTCTAGTATCATTATTATAGAACTACCACTTACCCGTTTCAGGTGACGGTAGCCCACTCCGAAGTCCTGGACATTACGTCATCACAGGCTCCTCAAAGGTAGACCACCGACGGCTCAACAATGCCTCCAGATCCTTAGACACCGAACCAAGACGGGATTCAAACATGAACAGCCCCGATTCCCACAGAGGCCTCCTCAGCAACAGCTCAGACGATAAAACTCTCTCGAACCGACCCACTATGTCGCCAAAAACACACACACGGCACAAGTCCTTCGACGGACGAACTGATTACATTAAAGACATAAACACGAATGTGTGCCTTAAAGCTGTGCTGAAAAACAACGCCCTGGATACCAATTTAAGAATCGATCAAACGCGCCAACCCCCAAACGTGATCAAACGCTCTAGTTCGTTCAACACTGTCAAGAATAACAACTTTATTGAAACACGAAAAGTTTCGCGGCGTTTGAGCGGTCATTCGGATATTTCGGATGATACAGATAACGGATCCTTTGATAAGGATCTGCGGAAGAGGGTGTTCTCGCCGGAGTTGACCACTGTTCCCTCGAATTCGCCGCGATGCCCGAACACACCGGAAATGCAGAGAAAGTTCGGACCGGGGTTGGTTAGGAATACTAGGGTGACGAATAAAGGACGAATGTCAGAACCGCCGATGGCGAGGAAACCGACCAATCATCAGAGCAGACAGGATTCCAAAGTTATGAATAGGCTTACCAAGTCCAGGTCGTCAACAAGAGAGCCACCAAAGTCTGATAAAGGTATGTGTTTTACGTAATTTACCCATACTTAAAATTTATGATCATTTCAAAGTTAAATCATTTTTTAAGTAGCATAAATTTTTGTCAACGCTCACCGATGTCCAGATTAAGCATTTTGATAAACGAGCTAGGTCTGGGTATCCATAGTTGCTCTTCTCACACTATAAAATCGATTTTTGTTTAGTTTTTTGTAATTTATTTTTTGATTAGTAATTGTTTTTTTGTAATGTTTGTTTTGTTTTGATTGATATTTGTATGATTTCTACATTTATGTCATGTTTGCCTTTAAGTGCTTGTCACATTAAAAATTGTATTTTGTGTTTGTTTTACCAATGTATCTATCAGTGTGCCGAGCGTTGGCAAGCTTTTTATCATTTTTTTTGTCAGATATTCATATTTAAAAAAATACAAATATCAACGCACGTAACAAACTTGTTTACATCATACTACATACATATATTATTTACATAAACCAAAGACAATTTTAATATTAAACTGCTACGTCTCGCTATGTTAAAAAATATCTAAACTTTAGTGTATAAAGCATATCTTCTCAATTTTAAATTCCACCCATTCCTTGACGTCTGGCGTCAGAGATCTTTCATGAGAGGAACCAACAGCTATTCCGACTTCGACTTAAGAGCCTTCAAGAGAAGAGCGTACCACTACCTTGAAGACCTGCAATGCTTGCAAACCTCCACTGCCCATGGGCGGCGGTAAAACGCTTAACTATAAGTGAACCGACTGCTGGCTTGCCTCCTGTTCCATTAAAAGAAAAGTAATATAATTCCTCATTTAAAAAAATATCTAACCCAAAATCGAACACCTTTGGTGGAAGGAATTGTTAAATTTAACTGCCGTAGGGTACTTTCAAGTGTATTCGATTAAACAATGGCAGGAAAACAATAACCATACAAACAATGCACCCTTTGAATCGATTATTCTGATAATAAATTGGTATATTGGTGTCTACTTATATTTTAAAGTCGAAGAATTAAAATGGTCCCATTGGTATTTACCAAGGTAATTTAAGAATACCATAAAATTTCAAAATGGCTATGATTTTAGCCAGACAAATATACATTGTTTATTTAAGATACCTGTAACGTCTACGAACAGGATATCAGAAACGGACTATAAACCAAAATAGTTTAATTATTGTAATTAATAAATAGTTTATTCGCAAAGTGGTACATTCAGATTGATTAATTGTAACAATTAATCAATCAGCCATATAAAAATAGGCATGCACATTGCACAATGCACATGTCAAATTATCATAATGTTTTATAAGAAGAGTTAAGTTGTTTATAATTGTTGTCAAAACTTATGATCTAAAATCTAAATACTCTCCCACGCTGTAAAGGCACATAACCTTTAAATAAACAAACGTAAGAATCTTACGCCTTTATTACACTTGTGCTATTTTTAATACCTATAGAATATAGATAAACAAAAACAATTTTCAATAAGGCTTTTTAGTCTTACTCCGTCCACGTATAGAATACAATTTTATTTTCTCACATTTCAGCACAAAAGAAACCCAACCAGCACCGTTCATCATCAGCGTTAGCTACGAAAGAGAAAGAGTTCACCAACTGGAAGAAGAGATCCTCATACGATCCGATGAAGGCAGCGCAGGAAGGGAAAAAGAAACAGCAGATGGCGAAAAGGCAAGAATGTAACAAGGATGACCTTAGTTCACCCAGGTTGCTTTCTATACATTTTATGAATGATATATTCATACATTTTTATTTGTCTCATAACCTTTATTCAAAGTTCATCAAAAGTGGTTGGTTTTTTGGATTAATAATATTTTTTATTATAAACTGTGTTTTTTAAAAGATTTATACAAAAAGTATTTAAAGTTGAGGTTTTATAATTTCTTGAATTATTTATAATCTTCGAATGTTGCCAGTCATATAATTTTATATAAAGGATAATTTATAGAAATAAATTGAAGAATTGTGGCTAACTGTGTAACTTATAGAGTTAACCCTTCTATGACGCGGTACCACTATAACGCTTTTTCGTATAACGCGTTTGCCATACTCTATATAACGCGGTATGTCAGCCCTATAACGCGGAGATTTCTCCTATTAAAACTGAATAATGTTATTAAATTCGTGTTACTAGTTTTAAAAAAAACGGTTTTACGTGATTACTCCTACAGAGCGGTCAACCGCGTTATACTTGGATTACTGTATATAAAAATTAACGTTATCAACTTAATAAAATTCCAGCCACTCGTCACCCGTGCATCGATCCCAGTCATTCCACACCACGAATATGGCTGATCTCACCTTGGATTACTCCTCCGAGGGTACAGAGGATGACCAGCCGACGTTGCCAATTGACCCTATGATTACATCCACGCATTCTGACATCCTGGATTTGAGGAGAAAAGGCTTGACCAATGATGTGATTTTGGGCAGAAGTTATGTTGCAACTTTTAAGGTAAATCGAATTAATCAGGTGGTTAAAAAACGTAAACATTTTTTTTACCAATATATGTATTATAAATTCGTTTGAGGTTAAATCATTGAGGTTAGTAAATTAAAAAAAACTAGTCACATTTTAACTTAAATCTCGTTCAATTTCACAAAACATACTTCTTATTAGTACATTTTTAATTATTATTAATAAGAAAAACAACGCAAAGTCTAAAATGACAAAATATTTTATTCCAGGTATCCCAAGTGGAGAAACCGAAACGTCATGACAAACACAAAACAGGCAAAGAGGTTGACAAGCGCAGAACCTTCATACTTGACAGTGATACGAACTCTACGACAAACGGCAGCAGTCCCAGAAATAGTTCAATATTCAGTCACGAGAAGAATTCGTACACGGACACTGAAGGAGAGAGCGGGACGGAGAGTGCGCCCGTCATGCGACAGAACAAGACGCAAGTGCAGCCGAAACAAAGGTACGTATTAAACTTCGTGGACCCTCTTTGGAATTTTGGAATCCAATTTTCTACGTAAAAACCTGGTTGCGTTCTCATCGATCCCCTACTGACCAGCTGACTAAAAGAGCAGGGGCAAATGATAAAATTGTGTGTGATCCTACTTGGGATTGATTTAGTACACCATAAGTGTACATTAAAAAAAATTGTGCGTGTACTAGGTGTACACACGTAAGAAGTGAAACTTCTTTATGATCTTATTTTTCGAAAAATGATCTACTATATGCAACTTTACAGAAATTGGTTACAACAAAAATATTTCATTTTACCTTATTACTACTATGATTATTACAGAATTTCATTAATTGTAATAGAATTACTACTATTATTGTTATCGTTTTTATATATTTTTGTGATTAATGGCTTCGAATCAACCGTGGTAAGGACAAGAAAAAGATGGCGCGTAACCGAAAAATGTGACGGTTAATTTTTTTCCAACGCCGATAAAGAAGTTTGAGTTCAAAAAGCAAGATGGCGCGTAACCGAAAAACGTGACGATTTGCTACAAAATTTGTCCCATACGTCGATAAAGAAGTTTCACTTCAAAATATCTTTCTGATTTTCATCTTTTTTTGTATAGTATGATTTAAAAAAAAAAAAACTTACTTGGGAAAAAAATGGTTTGCCGAAAATAGGACTTTTTTTTTTGCTCCTACTATGCGTTCCCTACTTTTAATTTTACCAATACATCACAGTTTTGTCAATCCTAAAATAACATTTAAGGGCTGTGTTGGCCTAGTGGCTTTAGCGTGCGAATCTTATCCCTGAGGTCGTAGGTTTGATCCCCGGCTGTGCACCATTGGACATTCTATGTCAAAAATTATTTGAAATTTGAATTTCAGCTCTACATTAAAATTTTGAAAATTTACTTACTGTTTTTTTCGATAAAAACTTCCTAGTGATTTCTTCCTAAAACCTGTCATTGATGTTTATTAATGAACGCTAAATTTTTTAATATTAAAAATTATGTATGTTAATATTACATACACACATATGCACACTAAACGTTGGGATACACTGCATCAGCGTGATCTGTACAAGTTTTGCTGTCAATGTAAATAAACCTTTTTTTGTAGATACAGTGGTGACTACTCCATGTCATCTTCAACAACCTCAATTGGCCATAAAAAGCCTAAAGAAATCCAGCCCCGTTATATGGATATATCTAAATACAAAGCAGAGAATTCTCCAAAGACCTTCTTACGACGGGATCCGAGTAAAACTTACGTTGGAGTGCTAAATGAACGGCCAGTCAGTAAGGGAAGCGCTCAGCACTATGAAATGGGTAAGTTTCCTGTAGTTCGAGTCCAAGCGGAAGTACTTTACTAGTCTGTACCTATACTACAGTAGTCTGAACTACCTTATAATATAGTTTTAATATCTCGTGTGAGCGGCCTTTATGCCTCTGCAGTCATTTCCAACTTTTTAATGTAACAGACCGTTTTTCTTCTAATGTATAACAAATAAACAAACAATAATGTTATCGATTTTCAGAACAAAAGAAACAAGAATTAGAGAAGTGGAAACGCAGGGCGTCATACGATCCGAGGAAAGCCGCGGCTCTCGGCAAGTCGAAAACTCCGCCCAAGACTGCGAGGTAACGAACAAATTGTTTTTTTTGTCTCAACCCTTATGTGTTGTCTGTGGTAATTTTAATGACTGATCTTGCAACAAGGAGATAGTAAATTATTCGTGAATATTGAAATTATATTATTTATATTATAATTACCATATGGTAATTAATACAACCATGGACACATGAAATAATTTTTTTTTTAATCTTTATTTAATTTTTTTTTTCGCCAAATATATGGCTTCATATAAGTAATATCTTATAATTTATTAATATATTGTATTTTTAAAAAATTGGTTTTTAAAAATTTTAGAGCGTGACAGTTCCCAATATGCATACAATTCTGGCTAAAGTGTAACGGCGGCCATATGAAAGAGGTTAGTCAAATGTCAATTTGACAGTTCTGGGAATTGGCGGTTTTTAATATTAATCAATATCTGCACTATTCATTAATCATATTGCTTTACGCTTTAAATAACGCTAGTGGGATTTAAATTGAAGTTTTAACACCCAAGTTTTAGTGTATCAGACTTTTGGTTGGTTGCCAGATTGCATAAGGAGTTATTGGTGCTTAATTTTTTTTTTAATCACACTCCAAGATTAGGAGCTGTTTTTATACTGTGCTTGAAATTGGGTACAATTAATTGATTGCCTCCATCACTATTTCACAATTTGTAAATAATATTTTTATAGCAAGTTAATGTGCATATTAATGTAAGTATCTATTTACTTTTCTGTTGTAATTACTATTGACTTATGACTAGTCTTAGATGGTTGGAGGGTTATTTTAGGTAAAAGTAATAATTATACCTTGGTATAATTATTACTTTTTAAATGGTTTTTTTCTTATTTATTAATCATAGACATAGGTTTTAAGTATAATATAGTTTTTGAACGATATAGTATAGTTCAAAAACTTGACACTTTATATGTCAAGGTTTTTGTCATTGCCTTACTACACTATTACTCCTTAATGTACAAAATGTGGTTATAATTTAGTAGAAGCAGTATCTGTATCAAAACTATTTCTACTTTTTTGCTAACCTATTTTTATTAAAAACAATAAATAAATTATAAAATTTTTTGTATGTGAAGAAAATATACTTTTTTCAGCAACGTCCTACGTTCGCAGTCGTTCCATGGGCCGGTTTTGTCGCCGAATCTTCGTTACCAGCCTCCGCCGGCGCAAATAAATGAATCCTACGATGCTTCGAGCGATAACGATTTTTAGGCGAAACGCCAATGTGATAGTTGTTTTAATGTACCCGATTTGCTTTAATACGTCTAGTAGTAAGTTCTGTCAGCTGTCAAATGACTGTCATGTGCGAGCCTCTTACATATGTCCGCATGATAGATGACCGACTCCGCTGCCGCCAATTTTGAAAATATTAAAATTTTCCAAGATTCTGTAAGCTTGCTTTATCGATTGCCGTGTAGAGAATTTTTGTTTTTCGCACAAAATATACAACATACATGCACGGAATTTTTATATTATTTTACAGTTTGTATTTGAGTCCCGTTTAGAATATTTAATATCTTATTAAATCGTACGTAGGGTAATATTTAAGCTAATTGTTTAAAGGGCCAATATATGAAATAATATGGTATATTTGCGTGCAATCAAAGTATTAAATTAAAATCGAATTAAATGCTCGCGAGTATATTGCTCATATCATAAACATCGAGTTAATTTGTTAGTTATAACTAGCGTAGATTTTAGTGCAATAATTCACATCACATGAATTTCTTTCAAAATTGTGTCACTTATGGCTTTAATTTTTTTGTCTATGGCTAAATAAAATATGTGATAAGTATCAAAATTAAATATTTAAGTTTCTAAATTATATGTGGCGTTAAAGTTGTTCGTTTGTTTGAGGGTTGCCAAGTTGTAAACTAGTACATATTTTGTATTGGAGCTCACTTTGTTAATAGAACAAGATGAATACATTTTATCGTTTTTCGTGATTATTTTTTTTTTTTACTTTAGTCTACTGTTTTTTACTCATGTCCGGTTTCTATATTCAATATACCGAACTCTTAATGCATAATTTTTACTATATTCTTCAGGCTTTCGAATGTACTCTGTAGAAAATCAACGAATTGTAGCAATTACGGCTGGTACTTGGGAAATAGAAACCGTGCTGTTATTATCGTGACTGTACGATAATAACAGCACGGTATAAACTGGCAACCTATAAAACGTATGAACTGTCCTGTTGTAAAGCTTGTCATAATTAAATGCAATGATTTATTTTGGAATTATTTATATTTTTATATTGTATTAAAATACTCATATTAGCGTATGATTTCTATGTAAAGTAAGTGAATAATTGGATTGAGTTACTTTGAACGATTTCAATTCTCTGTAATTATCTGACAATTGACAGTGAATATGACGCGACTGCTGTTACGTCATTCTTAGAAGTGACGTTCACGCGTTGAATGTCGATGTCATCATTTAGTCGAGTTGGCGCGAACTCCAAAATTCAATATGTTTTTACATACAAAGTTTTCAGTCATAACTAGTTTTGTATTCCAAAGTGTTACGATTTCAATGGCCACCACCACCTGTCAATTCTATCCCGAAGATTTTGAGAGAATTATTTTTAACGACTCGTACTTTTTAAAGAGACAGTATTTTGTACAAATTAATATTTACGTTCTGTTAATGAGATTTTATTTCCCAATTTTTGTTTTTTTCTCATCAATATAGTTACGCAATTTTTAATGTAAGGTCTATATTTAGATGTCAGCAAACTAGTGGTAACCCCGCCTTTACCTGTATAATTTCCATGGTATTCGCTCTAAGCGTAGATTTTTTGTAATTGATGTTAAGCATTTCATAATTGTTTTGATGGGAAATAAAAAATATATTAAATGTTTTTGTTTTCTTTTAAACCACTAAAATAGCATATCAAATAGAAGCAATCAAAGTGGAGACTTAAGGTCAATTTATACTACATATATATATTTAGTCGAAGCGTGACCCTCTAGCAAACCTACGCGTCATCAGTCTGAAGTTAGCCTGCGTCAGCGTTGATCGCGATTGATTTGGGCGAGAAATTAATTTACCTGGTGCAAAAATATTAATGTCTATTTGATACAAAAATTAACGGGAAAGTATTCAATAGCACTACTGTTCATGCCCATTACAGCACGTAAAAGAGTACGTGCTTCGCTTTAGTTCTGAAGAATTTGAAGCGTAGTATAAATTGACCCTTAAATTTTGGTTCTTGTTTGACAAAGAATGTTAGGCTGTTTAGTATGCTACTCTCCAGGGAAAAACTATAGAAAGGAAAACTTCACGTGGATATTCCTCGCACATTTCACACTTAACAGGCATAAAGTAATCTAACTAAGACATATAATGCAGATCGTATTCTTTATAAAAAAATTAATAACGCAAAAATCGATCCAGTCTATGTCTCTTTATTGGATTTTATTCAATGGGATCATTTAAGGTAAGGTCAGAATAAAACAATAATTCATACATTTATTTATTTATTTGCGATAACCAATACATTTCGCTCATAATCTCTTATGAACATTACAATTATCCATATATTATAAATTTACTCTATGTTTACAATTTGATATTTGAAAAATAAAATAATTTGCGATGCAAATCAATTTCGTTGTTTCAACAATTCTGACCGAGAGGAATAAGGCTGTCCCGCTCCAACAATATAGAGAGATAGGTAACGCAAGTTTTAGCGTTTTGTCTCAATTCTGTTGGACCGGATCCCTCAACGATTCGAACTAACAAAGACCGCTTCGTCTGATTTAGCAGAGTTCAAATCTCTATGATGTCCGCTCGATAGCAACCTCTTCCTATTAAACGTCATAGTAGCTAGAAACGTCAGTTACATCTCATCTGTCATGTTCTAAAACCACCGTTTCAATTTTTATGGAAATATGCATTACATTAGAAAATCTATAGAAACAAATACTGGAAGAGACATTTAGTAAGAGGCAATGATGGTAACTTTGAAAGTTAATCTGTAACATATATATACATACATATATACATGTACATTTAAAAAGTTTTAGGCCATTACAGAATGAGCCCTCGCTAGGGCTACCATATTTTTGTATCACTTTATTGGACAAAATACTACAACACCGCCATCATCATTGCAATATATGAAAATAAAGTAATAGGAAAATATTGTCGTAACCCTGCGTTTTCATAAACGGCCTAAAACAAACAGACGCGCTACAAACAGTTAAGTATATTAAAATAGCTTGAAAATTCGTTGGGCGAGTAATACTTGACTCGTAATCAGACCAAGTTTAAATTAAGAATTTATATTCGCCACAGAATAGATAAAAAGAAATTTCCTATGTCAAACTCTGTACTAGTGATTGTTTAACCACGTGACACCCTTAATGCATGCGATTCGCTTGCGGTGCCTACACCTTTGAATCCCATTTATCTACTCCGTGAATGCACCAACATTTATGGATTTAAAAATGGACCATCATTGCAAATTGCTATCGAGCGGTCCGTTAACATACATATAAAAATATTTTGGCTTATAAATTATATCTTCTCGTAATATAACACAATAGGTACGGTTTACCGCATCAACAAAGCACTTAAAATTATCGGTAAATTTTATCGATTCGGTTTTCAGTATCGATTATGCGTTCACAATTGTTTCACTTCAAATCTGTTAAACACATTAGAACCGTGTTTTTTGTTGAAATCTTTAGTACATTAAACGAGATCAAAATTATTAGCTTACTTTGCAAAGTCATTATAAAAGTATTATTAAAATTAAAAATAGAAAGCACTCTTGTAGACAATAAATCTGTTATAATAAATTAGAATAACATTTAAAAGTCACTTGCGTCCGATTCAAACAGCGGCATAGGTTTTTAGATTTAAAAAATCTTTGCCCCTATTCCTTCAGACTATAAAGGAACTGTAATTCTTTCGAGCGGTCTAAGTTTTAATCACAACCTTTATACGCAATATAATTAACAAAAATATTAGAAATTAATTTTCTATATTGAGCAACTGAAAGTGACGATCAAACGTTATTCGGTTCAACTGAGGGTTGTATTACCAGAGGCACCGCAAAAGAATGGAACTCCTTTCCCCCTTGAACCTATAGGTCACGTGACACTTAATATCAGGTGGGACTCCGTCCTAACGTCTGATGACTGACTTATCTACAAAAAAGAAGCCACGATAAAGAAATACGATGACAGTTGACATTTCGATTTTCCATCTTAATACGGACTTAGTTCTAAATGTGACTCTCGCATGTCATGATTTGGATATGACACACGGAAATCGTACTTAGTGCCAAGTTCCGGCTCGTATTTAACGCTTTAAGTGCTTAAGTTCAGACAAGGGAAAAAAGTTCTGCGGTAACGAGGCTAGAATTTGCAAATGGTAATACAACTCTTAGTGTCTTTGCATTTAATTAAAACGTAGACACACCTGGACAATACATTTAAATTGTTATCATTAAACAAACGGGAATTAGGAACTATTTGAAATTAGGAACCAAATAACAATAGGGAATATCTAATATTAAAATTCCAAATTATTTCAATAATAAAATTTGATTTTTGGAAACACCCCAAAATAACACTATACCCTGTTGTTTCATGCCTCGAAAAAAATAAATGCTTAGAGGCAAAAACTCTGGCACTACTAAGAACGGATAAAAATAAAAAAAAATTTAAACGTCTCTTACACTATCTTAAAATTTAATTAAAGCATCCAATTGTGGTTAAACACATACTTCAATACATATATCAATAAATATTATGTATATTAGATTATTTGACGAATCTGAGCCCAAATAAATCTGTGAAATTGTGACATACTGTTATCTCTTTCCTGTAACTTAAATCGTTTATCTTGCAATGTATTAGAAAGAGATATCAATAGTTTCAATAGTAGATAAAAGTCACACATTTTGACACCTTTACATGCATTTAAACTACTTTAAAACTACTCGACAATTGCCTTTGTCGCGGGGCGGATGTATACAAATTATTACTTTTTATTTACAATTTTAAGCACTACATATTTTCTATGTTACAGTGATATTATAGAGATTAGAAAACTTTTCGCTATTTAGTAGAAAATTTCTCATTACGTGTCCACAAAAAGCCTTGTACCTATAACAAATCAATAGACAGTTTCGTATTTGGTCTTTAAACGTGTGCAAAAAGTTTCCAAATCTAAAACAAGGAATGGATAAAAAAGTT